TTATTAGTATATGAAATTTCTCTATACTTGGTCTGTTTCTGAACTTTCTGTTATTCCACTGGTCAGATTATCTATACTAGTAACACTTCTATCTGGAGGCTTCAGAGTATGTATTCATGCTTGGTAGGGCTAGTTGTCCTTATGTTCATGGCTATTCTTGCATGATTTTTATTTTCCATATGAACTTTAGTATTTGTCTAACTTCAGAAAATAGCTTGTTGGTATTCTTGCTGGGATTATATTGAATTTATAAATCAATTTAGGGAGAACTATCATCTTTATAATGTTAAGGTCTTTTTTTAAAATTGCATTTTAGGTTTTGGGATGCATGTGAAGAACATGCAAGATTGTTGCATAGGTACACACATGGCAGTGTGATTTGCTGCCCTCCTCCCCGTCACCTATATCTGGCATTTCTCCCCATGCTATCTCTCCCCAACTCCTCACCTCCCACTGTCCCTCACCTATTTCCCCTCAACAGACCCCAGTGTGTGATGCGCCCCTCCCTGTGTCCATGTGTTATCATTGTTCAACACCCACCTATGAGTGAGAACATGCGGTGTTTGATTTTCTGTTCTTGTGTCAGTTTGCTGAGAATGATGGTTTCCAGGTTCATCCGTGTCTCTACAAAGGACACGAACTCATCGTTTTTGATGGCTGCATAGTATTTCATGGTGTATATCTGCCACATTTTCCCTGTCGAGTCTGTCATTGATGGGCATTTGGGTTGGTTCCAGGTCTTTGCTATTGTAAACTGTGCTGCAGTGAACATTTGTGCGCATGTGTCCTTATAGTAGAACGATTTGTACTCCTTTGGATATATACCCAGTAACGGGATTGCTGGGTCAAATGGAATTCCTATTTCTAGGTCCTTGAGGAATCGCCACACTGTCTCCCACAGTGGTTGAACTAATTTACACTCCCACCAACAGTGTAAAAGTGTTCCTATTTCTCCACATCCTCTCCAGCATCTGTTGTCTCCAGATTTTTTAATGATCGCCATTCTAACTGGCATGAGATGGTATCTCAGTGTGGTTTTGATTTGCATTTCTCTAATGACCAGTGATGGTGAGCATTTTTTCATATGTTTGTTGGCCTCATGTATGCCTTCTTTTGTAAAGTGTCTGTTCATATTCTTCGCCCACTTTTGAATGGGCTTGCTTGTTTTTTTCTTGTAAATCTGTTTTAGTTGTTCGTAAATTCTGGATATCAGCCCTTTGTCAGATGGGTAGATTGCAAAAAATTTTTTCCATTCTGTTGGTTGCCGATTCGCTCTAATGACTGTTGCTTTTGCCGTGCAGGAGCTGTGGAGTTTGATTAGGTCCCATTTGTCTATTTTGGCTTTTGTTGCCAATCCTACTTGATCATGGTGGATAATCTTTTTGATGTGCTATTGCAATTGGTTTGCCAGTATTTTATTGAAGATTTTTGCATCTATGTTCATCATGGATATTGGCCTGAAGTTTTCTTTTCTTGCTGAGTCTCTGCCAGGTTTGGTATCAGGATGATGTTGGTCTCATAAAATGATTTGGGGAGGATTCCCTCTTTTTGGATTATTTGGAATAGTTTCAGAAGGAATGGTACCAGCTCTTCTTTGTATGTCGGGTAGAATTCGGCTGTGAACCCATCTGGACCTGGGCTTTTTTTGGGTGGTATGTTAAGGTCTTAAAAACAACAAATATTCGGATTTTTGGAACTTCAATTTAAAAAAAAGAAATCAGATCTCAGGAACTTCAGTTTAAAAAAAAGAATAACCAGTATCTTTGTGTTTGTTCAAGTTGACTTTTGTGTCTCTCAATAGTGTTTTAACATTTTCCTGCTATTGGTTTTTTATGTTTCTTAGTACCATTATTTTATTTATTTATTTTTTTTCTTGAGACGGAGTTTCGCTCTTGTTACCAAGGCTGGAGTGCAATGGCGTGATCTCGGCTCACCGCAACCTCCGCCTCCTGGGTTCAGGCAATTCTCCTGCCTCAGCCACCTGAGTAGCTGGGATTACAGGCACGCGCCACCATGCCCAGCTAATTTTTTGTATTTTTAGTAGAGACGGGGTTTCACCATGTTGACCAGGATGGTCTCGATCTCTTGACCTCGTGATCCACCCGCCTCGGCCTCCCAAAGTGCTGGGATTACAGGCTTGAGCCACCGCGCCCGGCCAGTACCATTATTTAATCTTTCTTGTTATTGTCAATGGGGTTTTCTCTCCCATTAGCTTTTCTATTTATTATATGTTTTTATGACAGCCTTAAGATATAATTCATATAATATATACTTCACTTATTTAAGATGTACAGTTCGTTGATTTTTTAGTATATTTACAGAATTGTGCAGCCATCACTGTAGTCAATTTTAGAACATTGAATATGTTCTACAGTCAATCATTAACACCCAAAGAAACTCAATACCCACTAGCAGTCACTCCCCTTCCCCCCATAAATTCTTTATTATTTTTATTGTTATTGACTTTAATGGTTTGTTGTTCTTGTTGTTGTTGATACATAAAAGCTGTTTGTTTGCATCACTTTCTTCAGAGTAACAAAACCCCCTTCAGAGGGCCCTCCTGCCGGGATATCTTGCCTTTGCTCTGAGCTAGGATGCTGTCAAGTCTGTGGTGTTGGAATCCAGAGCCGTGGACTTAAGTATTTTTTTTGTTTGTTTGTTTTTCCAGCTTTTTGTCTCAGTCACATATAGATTTTCTTCTTTGGAGCTCTCACTTCTTATTTCTCCTGATTCAGTAAGTGGAGGGGTGAGAGAGTAAGTTGTATACTTAAACAGATGTTTTAATTTATTAGGAAATATTTCAGAGTTTAAAGTATAATATAATATGCCCATCCTAAATTCTAAAAGGGAGAAGAAAAGAGAATTTACATGTATTGCATTCTTGCTAAATGTTAGTCATTGTGTTAAGTTGCTTTTCTTAAAATGGTCTCTTGCGTTTTGGATGATACCTTACTCAATTCCTGCCAGTTTTATGACCAGGAAACTGAAGTTCAGTCAGGTTAAATAACTTGTCCAAATTCATACACCTATGAAATGGTAGAGCCAAGGTTTAAATCTAGAGGGTTTTGTTTTGTTGTTTTGATACATGTATAAAAACTCTTTAGTGAAAATGTTTACTTACTGTAGAGTATTTTAAAAGTTCCAAAAGCACGGTGGCTCACACCTGTAATCCCAACACTTTGGGAGGCTGAGGCAGGCAGATCACAAGGTCAGGAGATCACGACCAACCTGGCCAACATGGTGAAACCCCATCTCTACTAAAGATACAAAAAAACTAGTTGGGTATGTTAGCATATACCTGTAGTCCCAGCTACTTGGGAGGCTGAGGCAAGAGAATTGCTTGAACCCAGGAGGTAGAGATTGTGGTGAGCCGAGATCACACCACTGCACTATAGCCTGGGTGACAGTGTGAGACTCTGTCTCGAAAAAAAAAAGTTCCAAAACCTAGGACTTATAGATATACATTAATTAAAGGTTGCTGCCTATGACAGCAACATCAGGAGCCTAAAGAAGTGTACATTATTTTCTAGGGGTACTAATATAATGAAAGAAATATGGTCTTCTTGAGTACTTTTGAGAAGAGGATAAAGTACTTCTGTTTGTTTTATCTATGGAGTTTTATCTTTGATCTTCCAGTCTCTTTGGAAAAAGTGAAGGTGTTCAGACAGCCCCTTGGATGAAGGCTTTGTACTTGTGCCTTTTTGGAAATGAATAATCAGTCCTTCCTAAAATTGTTTTCTTTTTTAAAAAATTTAATCTAATTTTTGGTTTGTTTGCTTATTTTTTCCTTCCTAAAATTGAAGTTGCAAAATACTGTTACTGCTGCAAACGTTCTCAGTAGATAATCTGGCAAGGTTTGTTTAGTGTTAAATATTCCTGCAAAGGGATGAATTGTAAAAGCTCTGTCCTTATGAGGATTATTTTAATGATTGATCATAAATTAAAAGCCCTCATGTGTTATTTTCTAGTGATGTAAAGGGTCTAGTGGTTTCATGTGGGTGTTGTAACCTAGTCTGCTATCAGTTAAGATAGTTCTTGATGGTATGAATGTCAAGAAAAGAGTTTTCACTGTTAATCATAAAAAATTCCTTAAAGAAAAGAGAAATCTCAAATTTTACTGCAAGGAAAACGAGGCCTTGAGAGGGTGAGTGATGTGATAAAGAGCTCATAATTAATGGCAGAGGTATACTAGATTCTAGGTCTCCTGTTTCTATAATCCTTTTTGCTAGTAAACCTAGTATGTATAGATATAACTAAAATAGACTTTCAAGGACTGATTTTTCCTTTACTCCATTTTAACCTGCAAATCCCAAATGAAACCCAATTTATATGATTATATCATTTTGTTATTCTATGAATATTTTTTAGAATTATGGATGTGATTTTTATTTTTGTTTTTAATAAACACATTTATTGGGCTAGGCACAGAGGCTCTCACACCTATAATCCCAGCACTTTGGGAGGCTAAGGTGGGGGGATAACTTGAGCCCAGCCTGGGCAACAAAGCAAGGCCCTGTCTCTACCAAAAATGACAATAAAAAGTAACCAAGAGTGTGGCATGCACCTGTGTTCCAGCTACTCTGGAGGCCAAAGAGAAGATTGCTTGAGCCTGGGAGGTTGAGGCTGCAGTGAGCTGTAATCACATAATTACACTCCAGTCTAGGTGACAGAGTGAGACCCTGTCTCAAAAAAAAAAAAAAGCTTTTCAGAGTATAATGTTTCCTGATTATCTTTTTAGAAAATGTAGAACTAAAAAGGAAAAATTACATATATAGTTCTATATGTAATAATTATACATATCTGCAGAAATAATCAGATGCATCAAAAAAAACACACACATGCCACCTGTTTTGTGAAGCTAATGACGTACATTTTATAACCCACTTTTCTCTCAAGATTGTTGTTAACTTTCTTATTCAGTAATTTATACATCTGAGTTTTCTAATTTCTTGTTTTGTTGGTTTTTTTTTTTTTTTTTTTTTTTTCGGCCTTCCTCATAGATCTTGAGCCAGATGATTGTGCATCCATTTACATCTTTAATGTAGATCCACCTCCATCTACTCTAAACACACCACTTTGCTTACCACATCATGGATTACCATCTCACTCTTCTGTTTTGTCACCATCGTTTCAGCTCCAAAGTCACAAAAACTATGAAGGAACTTGTGAGATTCCAGAATCTAAATATATCCCATTAAGTGGCCCAAAACCCTTTGAGTGCCCAAGTATTCAAATTACATCTATTTCCCCTAACTGTCATCAAGAAATAGATGCACATGAAGATGACCTACAGATAAATGACCCAGAAAGGGAATTTTTAGAAAGGCCTTCTAGAGATCATCTCTATCTTCCTCTTGAGCCATCCTACCGGGAGTCTTCTCTTAGTCCTAGTCCTGCCAGCAGCATCTCTTCTAGGAGCTGGTTCTCTGATGCATCTTCTTGTGAATCACTTTCACATATTTATGATGATGTTGACTCAGAGTTGAATGAAGCTGCAGCCCGGTTTACCCTTGGATCCCCTCTGACTTCTCCTGGTGGCTCTCCAGGGGGCTGTCCTGGAGAAGAAACTTGGCATCAACAGTATGGACTTGGACACTCATTATCACCTAGGCAATCTCCTTGCCACTCTCCTAGATCCAGTATCACTGATGAGAATTGGCTGAGCCCCAGGCCAGCCTCAGGACCCTCATCGAGGCCCACTTCCCCCTGTGGGAAACGGAGGCACTCCAGTGCTGAAGTTTGTTATGGTGGGTCCCTTTCACCCCATCACTCACCTGTTCCTTCTCCTGGTCACTCCCCCAGGGGAAGTGTGACAGAAGATACCTGGCTCAATGCTTCTGTCCATGGTGGGTCAGGCCTTGGCCCTGCAGTTTTTCCATTTCAGTACTGTATAGAGACTGACATCCCTCTGAAAACAAGGAAGACTTCTGAAGATCAAGCTGCCATACTACCAGGAAAATTAGAGCTCTGTTCAGATGACCAAGGGAGTTTATCACCATCCCGGGAGACTTCAGTAGATGATGGCCTTGGATCTCAGTATCCTTTAAAGAAAGATTCATCTGGTGATCAGTTTCTTTCAGTTCCTTCACCCTTTACCTGGAGCAAACCAAAGCCTGGCCACACCCCTATATTTCGGTGAGTTGATGGAAATGACTATTGGTCATTTTTCATGTTTATGGGTCATTGGTGGCATATCAATATATATGACATTATAAATATGTAATGGTTTGACCATTTCTCCTCTTACTATTCAAAATTTCTACCAAATAACTTAATGTTAATTTTTATTTGCATCTTAAAAGTATTTTTAGATAGGTTAAATATAATTTTAAAAGTATATAGCTAATGAATTGATGATAATAAATTACATTTAAAAATCCTGGCTGGATTTGGAGGCTTATCCTTTGTAGTCCCAGCACTTGGGAGGCTGAGGCAGATGGATTGCTTGAGCCCACGAGTTTGAGTCCACCTTTGGCAACATAGCAAGACTGTCTCTACAAAAAAAAAAAAAATGACCAGACATATTGGTGTGTGCCTGTAGTCCTAGCTGCTTGGGAGGCTGAGGTGGAGGATTGCTTGAGCATAGGACTTCAAGGATGCAGTGAACCATGATCATGCCATTGTACTCCATCCTGTCTCTACCAAAAAAGAAAAAACTTTATTGCAAAAGTTGTATTATAATGTGAATTTAATAACTAAGAAAGCTATTTGGGAGCCAGGCGTAGTGTCTCATGCCTGTAATCTGAGCACTTTGGGAGGCCCTGCCAGGTGAATCACTCGAACTCAGGAGTTTGAGACCAGCCTGGGTGACATGGCAAAACCCTGTCTCTGCAAAAAATATAAAAATTAACCAGGGGTAGTGGCACACACCTATATAGTCCCAGGTACTAGGGAGGCTGAGGCAGGAGCATCACTTGAGATAGGAGATGGAGGCTGCAGTGAGCCAAGATCGTGCCACTGCACTCTAGCCTGGGTGAAAGTGAGACCCTGTCTGCACCCCCCCCCAGCAAAAAAAAAAAAAAAAAGTAAAAGATCAACCTATTAATTACATTTACAGAATCAATCTAGTCTTAATTGATTAGAAAAGACAAATTTCATGTATTGAATTCCCACATAGAGTTGTGCCTGTTAGGATTTTTGTTTTGTTTTTCAAGACAGTGTCTTGCTCTGTTGCCCAGGCTGGAGTACAGTGGTGCAATCATAGCTCACTGTAGGCTCAACCTCCCAGACTCAAGCAGTCTTTATACCTCAGGCTCCTGAGTATCTGGGACTATAGATGTGCACCACCACACTGAATTATTTAATTTTTTTTTTTTTTTTGTAGAGAAAGGGTCTTGCTTTGTTGCTGAGGCTGATCTTAAACTCTGGGCCTCAAGCAATCCTCCTTCTCAGCTCGCAAAGTGCCAGGATTACAGGCAGGAGCCACTGTACCTAGCCAGTGGTCAGTCCTTCCCGCCTTCCTGCCTTCCTGCCTTCCTGCCTTCCTGCCTTCCTGCCTTCCTGCCTTCCTGCCTTCCTGCGTTCCTGCCTTCCTGCCTTCCTGCCTGCCTTCCTGCCTTCCTGCCTTCCTGCCTTCCTTTCTGCCTTCCTCCCTCCCTCCCTCCCTCCCTTCTTCCCTCCCTTCCTCCCTTCCCTCCCTCCTTCCCTCCCTCCTCCCTCCCTCCCTCCTTCCCTTCCTCCCTCTTTTTCTCTCTCTCTTCCTCCCCTCTCCCTCCTCCCCCCCTCCCCTTTCCTTTTTTCTTGACAGAGTTTCACTCTGTTGCCCAGGCTGGAGTGTAATGGCACAGTCTCAGCTCACTGCAAGCTCCACCTTCCTGGTTCAAAAGGTTCTCCTGCCACAGTCTCCAGAGTAGCTGGGATTAGAGGTGCCCACCACCATGCCCAGCTAATTTTTGTATAAGTAGAGAGGGGGTTTTGCCATGTTGGCCAGGCTGGTCTCGACCTCCTGACCTCAGGTGATCTGCCCGCCTTGGCTTCCCAAAGTGCTGGAATTACAGACGTGAGCCACCACACCTGGCCCATGCTTTTTTATTAGTGTGAATCTTTATTTCTCAATCCTGATCTTTAGAAAAATAGAATTATGATAATGAAGATACCTTTGAACCCATAGCTTTGCTTCTGAAATTTATCTTAATTTTTCTAGTGTTTTGCTTAAGCCTGCAAAACAAATACAGAAGTAACTGAGAGTTGAAGTTGGATTTTGCAGACTAATAAAAATTAATATCTTTGAATTTCACAGGAGTTGGACTTAAAGCTAGGCTGAAGAAGTGGAAGGAAACAATGAAATAACTTAGAAATTTTATTTGACCTGTAACATATAAAGTTTTTCTTTATAATCCATATTTTTAATGTTAATATATCAAAATGAACTTTTTGGCCTTTAAGCAGTTTAAATTGTTTTATTGATAAAGTTAAGAAAAGTAACATTTAGAGATGCTGGAGTGACGGGCTATTTTCCAACCAAACATGTACTGAAATTAGATTTTTGCTTCACATTTTGCAGTATATTGCTGAACAGAAGCAGTTTCTCAGAGAGACAGGGAAAGGCGCAATAGGGAGGAAGTAGGGGAAGGAGGGAGGGAGGAAGTGTGTGAAGTGATAAGTTCAATAGGTTGACATCCACAGATGTGTACCAGGGAGGGAAAGAGACATCCTGACAGAGAGAGAGAGAGAGATATTTGGATATGTGGAGAGTTACTGATACAGATAAACAGAAATGTGCCTCTTAGTTTTAAAAAAATTGAATTATTATTTTTTGATTATTTTTGTTAATTACATACACATAGTTGAGAAACATTTATAGTTTTACAAATTATTAGAATTTGTCTTTTTTTAAAAAAAAGGGAAATCAAAATGAAGATAAGATAGATTTTTAAATTTTCTTTTTTTTTTTTCCCTTTTTTTTTTTTTTTTTTTTGTTAGACAGGGTCTTGCTCTGTTGGCCAGGCTGGGGTGCAGTGGCACGATCTTGGCTCATTGCAACCTCCATCTTGCAGGCTTAAACAATTCTCCTGCCTCAGCCTCCCGAGTAGCTGGGATTTATAGGCGTGTGCCACCAAACCGGCTAATTTTTGTATTTATAGTAGAGACGGGGGTTTCACCATGCTGGCCAGGCTGGTCTCAAACTCCTGACCTTAGGTAGTCTTGGCCTCCCAAAGTGCTGGGATTACAAGTGTGAGCCACTGCGCCTGGCGTTTATTTTTATTTTCTACAGTTTATTTATCTTTAAGCACATACCACCTTTGGGAAATAAAATAGATTTTATCCTAAAGATGAAATAATTACTTATTAAGAACTTACCATAACCAGAATTATAACTTACTAAATGAAGTTTTATTTTGTAATACATTGTTTCAAAGATCACAGAAAGAAATGTTGGTGCTGGTAAAGAAGCCATTTGAATCATTGCTTGGCAATAATAGCTTGGTGACCTGCATCTTTGTGTGTTTTGTTTGTAGCACATCTTCATTACCTCCGCTAGACTGGCCTTTACCAACTCATTTTGGACAATGTGAACTGAAAATAGAAGTACAGCCTAAAACTCATCATCGAGCCCATTATGAAACAGAAGGTAGTCGAGGAGCAGTAAAAGCATCCACTGGGGGACATCCTGTCGTGAAGGTATGAGACTTTGGGGCTTGTGTTGCAGATACCATACAGCTAGTGATGATAAGACAAGTCTATTCAGTTAGGTACTAGAGAGCACAAGGAACAAAAACTCAAAACTAGAGAGCCTCTGTTGTTTTGGGGGCTGTTTGATATGATTACACTTCCGCACTAAGTTATATTTGCTGGGCTAAAAGATGTTCTTTCCTGGACTGCTGATTTTTCTTTGGGGGAGACTCAGGAAAGATTACAGTGACCAAATAGCTGTTTTTCTGACTTAAAAAAAGATGGCCATATTATGTTTATGAATAAAATATATGCCTATTTAAAATTTAATATAGAAAAATGAAAGAATAAAGCAACAAATTACCCAAAATCTAACCCTCTCAGAAATAGGCAGTGTTAACATTTGATTAACAGTCCAGATAATTCTCCGTGTGTATATTTAGCAGAAGACTGGATTAATAGCTAGAAGAATGAATGGATTTTTTTTTTAAGGAAAGATTTTTTTTTTCTTTTTTTCTCCTTTATCTTCAAGAATTTTTTTTTTTTTTTTTTAGACAGAGTTTTACTCTTGTTTGTCTAGGCTGGAGTTCAGTGTGGTGGATATGGGCTCTCACCACAACCTCTGCCTTCCAGGTTCAAGTGATTCTCCTACCTCAGCCTCCTGAGTAGCTGGGATTACAGGCATGTGCTACCATGCCTGGCTAATTTTTTGTATTTTTAGAGATGAGATTTCTTCATGTTGGTCAGGCTGGCCTCTTCCCAGCCTCAGGTGATCTTCCTGATGTGGCCTCCCAGAGTGCTGGAATTAGAGGCATGAGCCACTGCGCCCGGCCAAGGAAAGAATTTTTTAAGGAAAGAGATTACGCCGGTAGTCCCAGCAATTTGTGAGGCTTGTGGATTGCTTGAGACCAGCCTGGACAACATAGTGAGACCCAGTCTCTTAAAAATTAACATACAAAAATTAATTGAGCATGGTGGTGTGTGCCTATAGTCCCAGCTATTCTGGAGACTCAGATGGGACTATCATTTGAGCATGGGAGGTTGAGGCTGTCTGTAGTGAGCCATGATCATGCCATTGCACTCCAGCCTGGGCAACAGACCAAGCCCTTGTCTCAAAAAAAAAAAAAAAAAAAAATCCTAAAAGAAAAGAGATTAAATACATTATTGAGAGATTGAAGTCATTGTTTCAGATTTAAATGGCATGGATTGACTTCTACTCTGAAAAGTAAGGTAATTGTCTCTCTTAAACTTCTTCCCCCTTTTCTACTCTACCTCCTGAATTTTCTTGCTTATACTATTTTTCCTTTCAAATTTACATCCTCCCTAACTTCTCCCCCAATTATTTAGCCTTAGTTCTATTTCTGGTTAGAGTTAATGCTCACTACTACTTTTTTATTTATTTCATTATTAAATAATGAAATAAATTTTTTTATGTGAGGATGGCTTTGGATTCTATGTTCCATGGGTTCTTTCATGTTTGAAAATGTGTTTGTTGTCTTTATATACTCAAATATAGAAATGACTGTAGATAACAATCTCTTAGAACTGTATAGACATTTTTCCCTCTTGTGTTAATGGTATTTATTGAATACTGTACTGGAAAAACTAATTACGCAGAAGTGATGTTTAACAAATCAAATTTATGAACTATCATCTCTTTTATGAGCTATGCTTTATGATTATTATCTGAGCATGTTTTATAGTTCTTTACAAATAAAGATTTACATTTTAGATGGTTTTTTAATTGATTTGTTTTAAGAAATGCCAGGAAAACAAAACATAAGAGTGTTGCCATTTTGTTCATAAGAGTCATATTTTGTTGTTAAATGAGTTTATTTCATTTTGATAAAGGAAGCAGATTTGTTGCTTAGTTTTCTGTATCTTTTAGTTTTCATAGCAAAAAACAAATTATTTACAAGTGTATAAATAAACAAGTCTTTTGGGAGGGTACATGATTTGTTTCAACAGTTTTCCTTTAATGAAAAAAACGATGCATGTGCTGTGGTCAAAAGAAAAAACAACGTTAAAAAACAGAATTTCTAAAAATAATTTTAATAGATTAAACAACAACAACAACAACTGAGCCAGGAACAATGGTGTGGGCTTATAGTCCCAGCTACTGGGGAGGCTGATGCTTAAGGATCGCTTGAGGAGTTCAGGGCTGTAGTGTATGATGATTGTGCCTGTAAATAGCCACTGTACTCCAGCCTGGGCAGCTTGTCTCTTTAAAAAACAAAAGCAGAACTGGTGCTGTGGCTCACGCCTGTAATCCAGTTGACTTGGCTAGCTGGGATGCTGAGGTGAGAGGATCGCTTGAGGCCAGGAGTTTGAGACCACACTGGCCAACAAATAAAATTAGCTGGGCATTGTGGCACACACTTGTAGTCCCAGCTACTCCAGAGGCTGAGGCAGTAGGATTGCTGGAGCCGGGAGTTTGAGGCTGCTGTGAGCTGTGATTGTGCCACTGCATTCCAGTCTGGGCAGCAGAGAGCGACACTGTTTCTACAAAAAATTTGAAAAATAGCCAAGTGCGGTAGCATGCGCCTGTAGTCCCACCTCTTTCAGAGACTGGGGTGGAAGGATCATTTGAGCCCAGGAATTTGAGGCTGCAGTGAGCTGTGATCACACCACTGCACTCCAGACTGGGTGACAGAGCAAGGCACTTTTCAAAAACAAAGAGAAAACAGCTGAGTCTCTGCTTAAGGGAAGACTAAAACTTCTGGTACCAGCAGTTTTTGTTTTCTTTTTGTTAAATGACTTTTTGTTTTCTGACTTACTGCTTGAAGAATTATTTCATTATACTTGAAATGACTGACTTAACCAGAGTATGTCTGGATGTTGATATTCTTTATCAGTCTTTGCCAGTACTTTTGATGCTCCCTTTCTGAGATTCTTGCTTCATGCCAGAAAAATGTGTATGTTTTCTTTTCCATTTATTTTGTTGTTTACTTAAGTGACTCTAATTGTTATTCAAATGTTGGCTTACCTTAGGTCTTGCTATGTAGCCCAGGCTGTTCTTGAACCCTTGGTCTCAAATGATCCTTCCACCTTGGCCCTCCCCGACTTCTTTTTTTAAGAGATAGGGTCTTGCTCTGTTACTTAGGCTGGTGTTCAGTGGCATGATCATACCTAACTGCAGCCTCAAACTCCTGGGCTCAGGCTATCCTCCTGCCTTAGCTTTCCGAGTAGCTGAGACTGCAGGTGTATGCCACTGCATCTGGCTAATTTTCAAATTTTCTCGTGGAGACAGAGTCTTGATTTGTTGTCCAAGCTGGTCTTGAAACTCCTGGCTTCAAGTAATCCTCCTGGCTTGTCCTCCCAAAGTGTGAGTTGCCAGGCCTGGCTGATTTCTCTTTTCTTGTGGTGGAATAGTATTACATTGTGTATCACATTTTAGAAATCCATTCACTTATTGATGGACACTTAATTTGGTTCCATATCTGACTGTTATGAATAATGCTGCAAGAAATGTAGGAGTATAAATATCTTTTTAATCTACTGATTTCATTTCTTTTGTATATATACCCATTGCTGGATCATATAGTAGTTCTATTTTTAATTTTTTGAGTAAGCTTCATACTGTTTTCTATAATGGCTATACTCATTTACATTACCATAACAGTGTACCAGTATTATAATTTTCTCCTCATTCCCACCAGAATTTTCCTTTTTTCGCGTTTGATAAATAGCCATTCTAACTGGATTGAAATTATATCTCATTGTGGTTTTGATTTGTATTTCCCTGATGATTAGTGATGTTGAGCATTTTTTCATATACCTGTTTGCCGTTTATATGTATTCTTTTGAGAAATGTCTTTTCAGATCCTTTGTCCACTTTTAAATTCAATTATTTGGGGTTCTTTGGCTGTTGAGTTGAGTACCTTGTACATTCTTACTATTAGACCTTTGTTGATGAATAGTTTGCAGTTATTTTCTCCCATTCTACAGGTTGTCTCCTCATTCTGTTGATTATTTCCTTTGCTGTACAGTAGCTTTTTAGTTGATAGAGTTCTATTTCTCTATTTTTGTTGGCTGTGATTTTGTAGCATTACTCATAAAATCTTTGCTTAGATTAATGTTATGGAGCTTTTCCCTTAACGTTTTCTTCTAGTAGTTTTATGGTTTTGGATCTTAAATTTAAGTCTTTAATCCATTTTGAGTTGATTTTTTTTGTATATGATGAGAGATGGGTGTCTAATTTCATTCTTCTGGATGTGGATATCCATGTTCCCAGCATATTTATCAAAGAGGGTATCCTTTCCCCAGTGTATGTTCTTATTAGCACCTTTGTCAAAAATGAGTTAGCTGTAACTACATGAATTTATTTCTGTGCTCTCTATTCTGTCCCATGAATCTGTGTGTCTCTTTTTATATCAATACTGTGGTGTTCTGGTTACTGTCATTTTGTAATATATTTTGAAGACAAATAGTATAATGCCTCCAGTTTTTTGTTTTGTTTTTTTTGTTCAGTTAAGCTTTGGCTCTTAGGGGTCTTTGGTGGTTCAATTCAAATTTTAGTATTTTTTTTTCTATTTCTGTGAAAAATGTCATTGGTATTTTGATAGAGATTGCATTGAATCCATAGATTGTCTTTGGTAGTATTTATCGATACATTCTTATACAACAACAAAACTTTTTCATTTGTTTTTGTTTTTTGAGACAGAGTCTCATCTGTTACCCTGGCTGGAGTGCAGTGGTCTGATCTTGGCTCACTACAACCTCTGCCTCTTGGGTTCAAGTCATTCTCCTGCCTCAGCCTCCTGAGTAGCTAGGACTGCAGGCACACAGCACCACACATGGCTAGTTTTTTGTATTTTAGTAGACAGGGTTTTACCATGTTTTCTAGGCCGGTCTCAAACTCCTGACCTCGAGTGATCCACCCACCTTGGCCTTCCAAAATGCTGGGATTACAGGCATGAGCCACCCTGTAATCCCAGCATTAAACTTTTAAAAGCCAAAACAAATTTTTAAAAGAAGCAAGCTAGCACATACTGAGCACAATCAAGGTA